AAATGAGTGCCGTCCACAAACTCACAAACGCATCAAATTATCATACACACATTGACTTGACGTACAAACAAACGCTAATTAGCAGCGGGCTCGGTCAGCCGAAGGAGAGAGATGCCATCAGTACGAGACGGCGACACATATGTTATGTAAGGTCAAAACTTCACCCGCAAACGTATGTATGTGTGTCCTCCTTGGCTCATGCTACAGATATAGATGGACGCAGGCAGCTCTCCTGTGGTCAGCCAGGCGCAGACATAAGTGCATGAACCGGTCCCTCCATCCCTCCATCCATCTCTTCTTGTCGCCTCCCTCCCCTCAGCCAGCCAGCCAGCCAGCCAGCCAGCCAATTGGACGAGTGAGTGTTCCCCTGTGTGCTGAGCATGACTTCCACCCACCTCCGACACTCGCTTGCCGTCCGACGGCCAACGTCCTCATGCCGGGCGGGCCATCACACTTGACACGGCAGGAGGCAGGCATTCACTCGCGGTACATTGACGGACGTACTGAATGATACTGACACACATACACATCCACATACACATACATATACACACACTGGCCGGCGTGTTCGCGTGAGGCGGTCCCCCCCAGAAACACACACTTCAGCTCGCATTGGGGGCGTCTCGACCGCGTCCTTGATTTTGCTTTCTTGTTCTCCCTCATCGTTGGCCCATCAGGGATAGGAGCGACTTCACAATGCCGCCTTGTATAAGCCCCATCGCCGCATGCTTAATGTTCTTTTGCCTGATGCTGTCGCAGTGCGGCCATGGCGACATCATTGCCTCCCGCCCTCAACAGCAGCTCGTGCAGCCGGCCATGCGGGCCGCCAAGGACGTCAGCAAGACCAAAGCCAATTCAACAGCCAGCTCAGCCACCACTGGCACAACGGCCACCACTAACACGAGCGACAGCAGCTCTGCAACTGCCTCTGCAATGACGGTCACAGCGAAGAATCAACGGATCAGCATGATTGCCCCTCCTGCCTCTCTCTCTGCTGCTCTCTCTGCTGCTGCTGCTGCCCCTGTTGGTGGTGGTAATTCGTCTAGCTCCTTGTCACCGACCAAGACGGACCTGTCGAAGCCCGACTGGACGGTCAAGAAGAGCCCCGGGCTCGAAGCCATCTATACGCACTCATACCTCGACGCTCCCCTGGGTATTGATTGCTGGGGCTGCATGCACTTGCAATGACGCCCCGCCCTTGCTTCGACGCCACGCGGATGTGTGTGTGTGTGTGTGTGCGTGTGTGTTTTGGGCTGTCGTGCAGCCAAGGAGGGCGAGCCATGCGGCCCTGGTACGGGTGTGTTTGACCGGTGTCGCGACCCCCAGGAGAAGGTCACCCTTCAGTGCTGCATGAACTACCAGTCCATGACCATCGGCAAACCGACTGCCAAGTGTCTCGAGTACCAAAAGTGCTTCAACTCCGCTGACCTCATGATCAACACCGGCGCCAAGACCGTCGCCCCACCACTACCAGAAGGAGCCGCACCAGGGGCAACAGCACCAGCACCAGCACCAGCAGCAGCAGAAACAGCAGCAGGGAAGGGCAAAGGGGCCGCCGAGGCAGGGGTCAAGCCGGAAGTTTTCGTGCCGTTGATCTTCGAGCCGCATCCGTTTGGCGACGGCGGTTACTACCACTACTTCGACGCCAGGACCAAAAAGTACAACAGACTGGGCTTCTACGAGCCGGGCCGCACCAACTCAAATTCGAAAAGGAGAAATTCACCGGAACCGGTGAATATATGGATGGGCGATATCGACGCAACCAAAAGGCGCCTGTTGTTTGTGTCTGTTCACCTGCACGTGTCTCCCTCTCTCTGTGTGTCTCCCGTGTCTCTCTCTCTCTCTCTCTGTGTGTGTGTGTGTGTGTGTGTGTAGCTGAGGAGGGGATGCCCTGCGGTCCGGGCAGCGGTCACTGGGCGACGTGCAACGGTCTGTTGAGCGAGTGCTGTGTGAAGCTCAACGCCAATCTGCTGCTGTCAGTGTGTTTCTGCACCCGCGACTTCGAGAAGAAGTGCCTCAGCCAGGGGGGCAAGTACCTCTTCCACACCATCCACCGAAGGGAGGGCTACAGACAGTAAGAAAGACATCCACTTCAATTCCCACACTCTCATCTTTCTCGTGTCGTGTCGCGTCTCACTCACCAGGTACGGTTACATGGAGAGCAACACGTCCAAGTGGATGATTCCCTTCGGCCCGCGGATCCCATGGGACCCCAAGGACAGCGGCGACTACGTCGAGAAGGAGGAGAAAGAATGCATCAAACCTGGCGGCGACGCATCGCGCAAGCACGCCCTCTACACCGCACTCACCGTCGCCACTGCTGTACTGGCCGCCACACGAGCCGTCATCTGATTGATGCGTTTGATTGATGCGTTTGATGCGTTTGATGCGTTTGTCCGTGCAGCGTGTGTGGGAGGCAGGCAGAGAGAACATTGACCGACCGGATGGCTGATGGATGGATGGATGGCTGGCTGAATGGCTGAATGCGATGTGTGTCAGTCAGGTGAGTATGCCTGCAGCTGGTTGCATGAGACACACTGCCTACTGAGTGCGTGGAATGGAATTTAGTCGCCCTCAGCCGCCTTCATTCACATCAGAAGGCAATCCGCGTACACCGCACCACGACCACACACCTTCCTTCGGCAGTCACAAACCTGTACCGTCATGCATCAGCTTGGCTGACCCACTCACTGCACTGACCAACAAAATGCAAACACCTATCATCAGTGAGTGCGCCAAGCAAGCAGCGCCCACACAGTACCTGTACGGCTGCGTGTCCGTCCATCCATCCATCCATCCAGTCTGCCTGCGTGCCTCTAGCCTGCGTGCCTCTATAGCTACCGGTCATGTCAACAGCGCAACGCCCACCATACCAAACAGCAGGTCGGAAAAATGGGCCTGCCTGCCTGCCTGCCTGCCGAAGCCGATGAAAAATGGGCAGATACTACTGCACTACTGCACAGGATGTATAGGCCGCTCTCTCTTTCTCTCTGTGTGTGTGTCTGTGTGTGTCTACGCCATGGGAAGGTGTCCCAGTAGCGTGACGCCCTTCCAGCTCTTCCTGTCCTTCAGATTGTGCATCACGCCCTCGCCGTAGGGGTCGAAGGGGCGCAACGAGTGCAAATACGTCAGGATGTCTGCACGCACCACACCACCACCACCACACACAGGAGAGAATCAGAGCTGGTGTGTGTGTGTGTGTGTGTGTGCATCATACTGACACTTACCGATGCGTGTCCCCATGTCTGGAATGCCCTGGAAGCGCATCATGATTTGTGAGTCGCCGACGTCGGTGAAGGGCCTGGGGTCGCGCATGTAGCGCATCAGGTTGGCGTCATTCCACACCAGGCCATTCTTGCCCAGGTCCTGCAGGTAACTGCAGGGACACACGCGCACACCACACCCGCACAAACAAAGCGAGAGAGAAAAATATGAGTGGATCTGATCTGGCTGAGCCACATGCACACACACACAGGACAGGTGGTGCTGACTGACTCGCTGCAGCGGATCTGGCCCTCGCCAACTGCGCACACACAAGGAGAGGGCAGACACACAGACAGACGCACAGACAGACACAAATCACTGCCTGTCGGCTGTCTGTCTGTCTGTCTGTGTGGTGACCGTACCTTTGCCCTTGAGGATGCCTGCTTGCCTGCCGCAGATGTTCCAGAGTGTGGGACCCCAGTCGCTCCGACCCGCACTTGACACGTGGCCGTCCTACACACACACACACACACACATACATGCACACACACACAAGCGGACGTACACACAGAGCGGCCGACACATATTTCGGGTGTTCGAATGCGCTCACTCACAGGGTAGATGCTGTGACACTGATGGCAGTGCTTCTTGAATGCTTTGATGCCCCTCTGCCAGACGTCATCGCCGCCGGGCGGACACATCCACTCATCCCATATCTCCTGCACACACACACACACACACAGAGGCCAACATCATCAGATCTGCGTGTCCATCATCATGCCATCTGGCAGTCGGCATGAGAGATGAGATCCTGTGCGAACCTTCTCGTAGTCGATGGGGTGGTGGGGACCTCTTCCTCTCATCTGTGAGTGAGTGCAGCAACCAAGGATCAGATATATTGAGGCGGAGTCCCAAGCAGTGTTGAAAGTAACGGGGGTCCAAAATCAACGAGCAAAAGGTCAGAGTGGCCTCGCAGAGGCTGTATGTTTTCTGCAGAAAACAAGACGATTCCCCGAGTTGAGGAGTCATATTTGAGGTCAACTTACCGTCGGAAGGGTCCGCCCCGGGGTCACCTTTCAGTCCAAACACTGATCTGTCCCAAGAGGCGAGTTTTTTTCAGCTTGACACGAACAGTTTCGTGTCTTGCCCCAGGCCCTACGTCAGAAACAATGGGCAGAAATGCAATGGGAAGGCTAACGTCGGCGAAAGAAAAATTCCAAGATGCACACTCTTGTGAACATTCTGCTTTGCCTCCTCACGGCACGTGTATTGGGGCATCCTCCCACAATCCACTGCAATCCCGACTACACACCGGAAAACGCCCTCATCGGGAGGGATACGAGAGAGGACGCCGCCCTCTTCAATCCGCCGGGGAATGTCGACAACCAAGTAGCGGAGGGACCCCTCTTCGAGGTCAAGATCAGGTGACTTGATGTCGCGTCACGGAAACAGTGTCGGCTGAGTGTTTGCTGTTGTAGGGGGACTGAGCTGACCTACGACAAGGTTGGAACGGCCAACCAAGAAACGTCGCCTGGTGAGAATACCTTCATCCTGGTTGGGGGGATAGACGCAGTGGTAAGCCGCCAGCGCAGAGTGTAGACTTCTGGAGCCGAGCTCTTTCCATTTCATTCGCTGCTGCCTGCAGGTTATCGAGTCGGACCCAAGTGATCTGGCGACGGCCGAACTGTCCTCAGGACAGACTAACCCCGATGACGACGGCTTCCCTGTCCTTCAGGCCAGTCCTGGATCCCCCCCCGCTCCAGAGCCTTGCATCAACGAAGTTCCAGGCACTCCAGACCCAGTTGACGTGACGATCACCATCGCGACTGCCGCGGAAGGCACAGAAAGGTAAGCGAGTTGACTAGCTAGAGGCGCTGTGCTCGTGTTCGCTTCGATGTGCTTTCGTTTACTGTGTTGTCATAGGGTGGCGACACAAACGTGCACTGCGTTCGTTCTTTGCAACATCTGAGACCGACAGTGACCAAACTGCGCTGTGCCGCTTCAGTCCGTTGCTTTTGACATTGTCGTGCTTGAGGGAGCATCTGCCTTTCGCTGTGAGTGAGAGGCAGAGACTGCCTGAGAAAGTATATTCGCTGTGCAGACGAGAATGTTCGCTGTGCAGACGAGAGTCCCATAAGGTCAGAAGGTGCGGATGAGAAACTGTGTGCGTGAGTCAGGACAAAGGCAGCGTCCACCGCAATCCCCATTTGACGATGTACTCGCAAGTTCCACGCGCAAAGTGAATGCGGCAAGCGTTAATCCTGTTAAAACCCCTCGAGCAGCAGCTTCTTGCGTGCAACAAGTGTGTTGCACGCAACCTGCCCCTCGAGGAGCACAACAAGATTGACGCAAAAGCATCAGCACTCCATTGCGCAGCCACGCCACACGAATTTCCCTTTTCTCTCTCCCCCAGCAAAGCGTTCGCCTCACCTCCTGAACGTTATACTGCACCCATGCCGCCGCAAACACACCATCCAGCAAAACAGGGGTAGCTGAAAGGCGACTTTCCCTCTCCTCACATCTCTCTCCCCCATTGAATGCATTGCACTGCACTCCCTCTCTCCCTCCCTCCCTGCCTGTCTGCCTGTGAGTGGGTGAGCGCTTGGCAGGCAGGGTGGCTATGCTGTCTGTTTCTGTTTCTTGGCGCCCCTGGATGCCACCAGTACCCGGGCCTGCAGCAGACGCACGGGGTCCACCACGGGACTCTTAAGAGCCACACTGGCCAACTTCTCCTCCTGACAAACAAACACACACATACACACACACAGAGACACATCCATTCACTACATTGATAATGTTTGTGTGTCGGGTCGGTCTGTGTGGTCGCATTGCATACCGCATGGAGTTTTTCGGCCTCTTCGCGGATGTCTTTGCACTGTGTCATGAGGTCAGCTGACTTGGGGTCCAGCTGCTCGCAGAGAGACTGCACGGCAGACACGGCCGCCTCCATGTCGGTCGCCAGACGCTGCACCTCCGCACCGTACTGGTGCACCTGAAGGCACACACCCACCCACCCACAAACACAGAGATGTGCAGTGAAGTCTTTCCACCACATATCGGACCAGACACCAGCCCACCGACCTGCGTCGCGACGTCTCTGAGCTCCACAGCGGTTGATCTGAAGTCCTCTATGGAGAGCATGGCGATGCAGCACCGCTGAGTGCTCGTCGGGCCCAGGGCACTCTCTAGCAGACAACTCTCCTCATCTGCCGCCGACGCATCGTTGCCCGACGAAGATGCTGAAGACGAAGATGCTGACGATGATGGGTTGTGGGCGGCTGAAGGGCGGGCCGCGGAGGAAGTGGGGCAGCTGTAAGGCTTGCTCTCCTTGAAATCTGCACAGACAGGCATCCACACACTGTGGTGAGTGCGGGGTGAAGGGCTATGATATGAGAGGTCTGTTGGTGGTCAGACCGACCTTCTAGAGCCTGCTCGGAGAGGCTCTGTCGCTCCGACAGCAGGCCCCGCCGACGAGCCATGACCTCACGTGTCTGACGCACACACAACAAACCGTTTCGCGTTGTCTGCTGCTCGTTTCTGAGTCTTACCTGGTTCATGGTGCTTTGGCTGCCCCGCAGCTGCTGCTTGGTGGTCTCCATCACGTTAATCGCATCCCGCAAACTGTCCCGCAGCACACGCACCTGACCAGCCCAGCCCACACAAACCACACACACGAGCCAACCATCTCATCTCCCCGAAGCTCCCCTCGACAAACCAGATGCCCTCCCCACTACTCTCCTCCCCTACCTCTCCCTGGAACTGTGTGAGCGTCTGGACCTTCTCATCGAACCGCTCGCGCCACTTGCACACCCGCGGGAGATCCCCCAGGACCCAATGAGAAATTGTCCGCGAGAGCGACGGGCTCACCGCCAGGAGGGCGTCAGTGAGCTCGGTTGGCGTGAGGCAGGTGATGAGTATGCTGTAGAGCACGTCTTCGGGCAGAGAGAGCAGCATGGGTGGCTCACTGGAGGTGTCGGGGGCTGGGGAAGAGGTTGTGTTGGTATTGCTGTTGCCGTTGCTGTTGCTACTACTACTCGAGGAAGAGCCGTTGCCCATGATGACCATCCTTTTTTTTCCTTCAAGCACTTCTCCCTCCCCGGCGGGCTCGCAGTGCAACTGCAAGCTCAGAAATGCAGATCTCCCGTTGAGCAACACGAGTCTCCTCTATGCTGTAATGGCCCAAATGGCTTTCAGGACCCACTGAAAGCCACTCATGTTTGAGAGCTTCAAGTCCGATGAGTCCAACCTCACCCTTGAATGGCGGTGCTTCGTGGGCTCTGTCAAGGCTGTGACCTTCTACGGACATGCACACGCCGAGATGAACGTGGCCTTTGCCAGCGGCGGATGCATCCGGTGCTTCAGTGCAGCCACCGGTCGGGAGCTGCATGGCCCGCTGGCCTTCTCAGATCACACGCATGTCCACGGCCTGGACCATCACACAGGTGCCTACGTAAGGGAGGGAGAGAGGGAGGGGAGAGATGAATGAATGGACGGACGGACGGACAGGTGTGTTTGTGTCTGTCTGTCTGTCTGTCTGTGAGGTGGTGAGAGTGATTCCTATCTGCTGGCCTGGGGCGGTAGGAGGCTGCAGCTCTACTCATGTAAGCTAAGCAACACCAACGACAAACCAACCACCGCAATGCAATCGAAACCCTCTTGCGCACCGCACTGCCATGTCATGTGTGGCATGCACTGCAGTGTCGACTCCTCCGTCGCCCTGCCATCGCCCTTACCACACTCGCGAGTGGATCCTCACGACACAGATGCTCACCGCACGATCACCGCGACAGCCACAGGCGTCACCCCTCACCCTCCTGGTGGGGTGCGCCCACAACACGGTCGAGCAGGTGTGTGTGAGGGAGGGTACCATGGTCAGCCTGATGTCTGTGGAGTGCCGCGACGACAGCCTGCTGTACTCTATGGGCCTGCTTGTCGTCGGCTGTGGTGATGACGGAAGGGTGTTGGTTGCTGCGGGAACTGCATTCAGCAAGGTGGGCCTGGCTTGGCTTGTCGTGTGTGTGTGTGTGTGAAGGGTGCGTGGCGTGCAGCATAGCGTGTGTTTCCATGTCTGCGTAGATATTGCTGTGGTGGTTTGATCTTGATGGTGAGGACCGGCCGGGCGTGGCGAGTGAGCGTGTGGAGGTGACGCAGGAGCTCTGTGGGCACAGAGGTAAGGCAGGCAGAAGCGGGAGGGCGAGGGCAGGAATGCATATCATGGTGTTCACCCCCAAACAGGTGTGTTGTTCCGTCTTCGTTTCTTCTTTGATGGGGCCGTCCTCTGCTCGACCAGCGATGACAGGCAGGGCAGGCAACCACGGAAACACACAAACCCGCACGTGTGATGGATCCATCCATCCATCTGTCTGTCTGTTTGTGTGTGTGGCCGGTCTATCTGCGTGTGTAGGACAGCCCGTGTGTGGCGGCGCGTTGACGTGCATGACCGTCAGTCACCTTATGAGTGCATCGGGGTGCTCGAGGGACACACCAGCAGGTCAGGTCCATTGCATACCATACACACCACACACATGAGCACTTCACTTGCACGTGATGGGCGGGGCTGGATGGGCGTCTGTCTGTCTGTCTGTTAGGGTGTGGGATGTATCAGTGGTGCCGTCGGCTGCTGCTGATGCGGCGGACGCTCATTTCCTCCCGGCACCTTTCCTGGTCGCCACTGCAGGGTACGGACCGCCCCAGGCAGGCAGGCAGGCAGGTTTGCTCATTGGCTGGGTGTGGTGCTGTGCGTGTTCGTTCGTGTCAGTGAGGACTCGACTGTCCGTCTGTGGCGGTCCGATGGCACACAAGTGGCCTCCTTCCTCGGTGAGTGAGTGACTGAATGAATGCTGTCCTCTACATGTCATCTGCACACACACGTGTCCCCCGCTCTCTCTCTCTCTCTGTCCTCTACATGTCATCTGCACACACACGTGTCCCCCGCTCTCTCTCTCTCTCTGTGTGTGTGTGTGTGTGTGTGTAAATGTCGTCAGGTCACTGCGGCCGTGGTGTGCGGAGCGTCCAGGGGCACACAACTAGACCAATCGGTACACTCACTCAGATCAGAAGCAAACTTTCCTTCTCACTTCTGTTATCATTCCTCTCCGTGTGCTGTGGTGTATTGCATTGTGGTATGTCTGTCTGTGCAGTGGTGTCTGGTGGTGAGGACTGCGACGTCAAGCTCTGGCACGTCGACCAACACATGCCGCCACGCTTAGAGGACGGTGCCAAAGCCGACAATCCCCAAAGCGACGCCGTGGCCTCGTGGCAGATACCTCCCGACGTACCGATGCACCGCACACAGACACATACGCCCACTGGTCTGATTGATATATGTGTGTGTGAGATTAGGGGTACACGAGGAGCAGCAGCGGTCAAAGAGACGTCATCAAGTCAGTGCACATGACCGACCACCAGTCAGCCCTCCTGGCCACACAAAGCGGGCGGGTGTTCATCCTGCAATGGACCAATGATGCCGGTGGGCCTGTGTCGGCTCGCCTGCTGCTGGAGACCACCACCATCCCCACACAATTCACCGGCATGGATGTCAGTGGCAGGTCAGCAACTATGGTCAGCCAAGCCAGGATGCACCCACCGATATACCTCCCTCTGCCTGGCCTGTCCGTGTGTAGTGTGCTGGCGTGCAGCTGTGCAGACGGGAGCGTCGTGGTGGCTTGGTTGCCCGGCGGCCAAGGCTCGTGGACGGCCTATGACCGGCTCCATGCCTACCAGCGCAGCATCTACACCAACAAGAGGGTCGACCGTGTCTTTGTTCTCACTCTCGCCGACCACCTTTACCCTCCCCTCATCCTAGCGGCAGACTTCACAGGCGACATACGCCTGCTCCCCCACACCCCCGCCCTCACACACGACCAGGCGCCGCCATCCACCACCCTTGCCGTCAGCCCGCCTATGTCGCCATGCCCCCCTGGGGCAGCGGCCATCAACCTCTCCCCCTCCCCAGCCACATCAAAGACCAGAAGCTGCCGTCTCATGAGCGCCTTGGTAGTTGACGCTTCACACGTGATGCTGGGCGATGAGCACGGAGGTGTGCATGTGGTGTGGGTGTCTGTGGGCGAGGGAGAGGGAGAGGGGATGTTGAGGGGGAGGGTGGTTGTCAGCGAGGAGCGTGTGCATGGTGGGGGGAAGGTGTTGGGGCTGACGCGGGAGGGGGAGCGGGTGATGTCTTGCGGGGCGGACGGGTGCATCTGTGAATACAAGTGGCACCACGGTACGGGGAGAGGGCCGGCCAGAAGAACGAAGATATACCTGAATGTGTGTGTGTCACGATGGATGTGTTTCGATCAGATGCATCGCCTCCTCTGCAGCGAATCTCTTCCTACCGTGTGTCTCAGCTGAATCAGCTGCACCAGCTCATACACACGACGCCATCAACAACGACCACCTCACCTGACAACAAGTCTCTCATCGTCGCCTTCCGCGACCAAGACTTCGTCCTGTGGGACCTCAGCACATCAATGGTCTGAGCGCACACAGTCAGGAAGCACCAACACCCCTGTCCTCGTGTTTGCAAACAGGAGGTTTGGCGCGTCTGCTGCGGCGGCTCTCGCCGGGCCTTTTCGTTCCTGCACAGGGGAGGCCGCATGTCGTTCGCCTTCAGCAGACACGACACACTCTCGGTGCACTCCGTTGCTGCGGCGCGGCAAGCGGACCCATCATCGTCACAAGATGAGAATGAGAGTGAGCGCGAGGGAAGGTCGCTGGTGCCTGGCTTCCACGGGCGAGAGGTGCTGGCTCTCAAATGGATCGATAAAGGTGGGTGAGAGGAAAAGCTGTCCGTCCACACACACGTGTGTGGCCGGCCCATTTTTCCTTTCTCTCTCTGTGTGTAGACATGCTTGTGACGGCGGGTGAGGACAATGCGGTGCGACTCGTCCGCGTCAGTGGGAGTGGTGATGATAATGATGACGGCGGTGGCGTCAGCAGCGGCACCGTCATGACGTCCGTGCAGACCTGTGTAATGCACCCTGCTGCCGTGCGGTGCCTCGATGTCGCCAAGTGGCAAGACGACGCCCATCTGGTCATTTCTGCCGGTCTGTGCTCAGGCAAGACAGGATGAGTGCGTATCCGCCCGTTTGTTTGTTCAGGTGCGAGGATGGTTATGAACGTGTTCGTGGCTCAGGCGGGCCGGCTCTCCCATGTGCGCAAGCTGGCCGTTGGCGACATTGCGACGGAGCCGCAGATACCCGACCAGCGATTCATGGTCAGCCAGACAGACGCACGACAGCACAGGGAGAGATCTCCATCCCATGTGTGTGTCTTTGGTGAATGCAGGCCGTTGCGTCACACCTGTCGCCCTCTTCCCGCCACCTGACAATCTTCGCGGGCACCTCTGGAGCTCTCCTGTACACGACCCGCATGGCCCTCCCACCATCCCCCACTCACGCCCTGCTGCAGTCCATCACCTCCCTGCCCTCCACCGTGCTGGCCATCAAGTGTCTGTCTGTGCCGATCCCTCTGGCTGATGTAGATAAAAGGGGCGTGCATGTGGTACTGTTGATAGTAGGGACCAAGGACGGCAATGTCTCGCTCTATGACGCCACCTCTAGTGCATGTGGCGATGGTGGTGGTGGGAGTCAGGCTGCGTCTGCATCTGCAACGTCTGCGTGGACTGATGTGCCGTGTGTGTGGGAGAGGGCTCATGAGAGGGGCTACAAGAGAGGCGGCAGGTGTGTGGAGGGGAGTGGGAGGGGGAGAGGTGGGCGGGTCAAGGTGGGCGAGGGCGGGCTGAGGCTTGTCGCCTCCTACCGGGCGCATCAAGTGGGAACCAACGCCGTGGATGCAGCCGTCATCGAATCGACGGTTGGTCAGGGAGCCAGACAGAGAGAGAGACAGAGAGAGACCCATGTACTGTGTGCCTTCGTGTCTGTCTGTGTCATGTGTGTAGGCGACATGTGTGGATCTCCTGGTCTGCACGGGCAGTGACGACCAGTCCATTACCTCTGCGCGTGTCCGCCTCTCCCGCCACACACAACAGCCCCACTCGCTGCAGCTGTGCGACCATACTGACAGCCAGGCCATCCCCACATGGACACTGCCAAACGCACACCACTCCTCACTTCGATGTCAGCAAACGCACCGCGCCCACACCACACACCCGGATTGGATTGGTGCACGTCTGCAGCCTGTATGTGCGTGTGCAGGTGGTGTGCTGGCTCCGTCCCACTGTGGCGATGACAGCTGCAACAAGCGCCACTGGCATTACGTGACGGTGGGTTGGGACCAGCACGTCCGTGTGTGGAAGATCGGCTGGGCGGCGCAGACACAGCCGGACAGTTCTGACGGTCATGAGGCGCTGGTCTTGACCGAATGCAGCCACACACGCACTGCCGTCCAGGACGCCGGTAAGTACGTTGCACGGCTTATATGTGAAACTGTCTGTCTGTCTGTCCATGGTGTGGTCTGCAGCGGCTCTCTGTGTGTTTCGAGATCCGCCGACCCCAGCAGCACCGATGGTCTTGCGCGTGGCTGTGGGCGGGGGAGGGGGGGCCATCGAGTGCATGGGGACCGTCATACCGTGAGATTGGTCCTCTCTTGTCTTGTGAGCGCATTCATGTGTGTGTGAGAGCTGCCAGACGTGTATGTATCTTGTTTTCCTCTGCTTGTGTATCCCCCCGCTGCTGGGCCGCTGTCCATTGCGAAAGGTGATGGAGATCAAGACGGCCTGAACACGGGATGTCTTGATTTCCATCCTCGCTCGCGTCGCGACACTGGCCACAAGCGCGGTACCGGTCGGTGAGCCGAGAAGTGAGTGGCTCGAAGTGAGAGTATTCCGGACAGACAGGCAGATGCTTTGTCCGTGAGCGGTTGGGGTGGGTGCTTTGTATGTATTTAGACGCAGACAGACAGACAGACAGACAGACAGACAGATAGACAGACAAACATAGGCACCTCACAGACAGACTCCAGTGGTTTCTTCCTGCACTAGCTCTAGGTGTGTCAACCCAACCATTCATTCCCCTTGAAAAAGAAGAAGTGGTTAAAGAGAGAAGCTCCATGCACTGCACTAAGTGGACACAAACCCATGATGGTGGGGGGAGCCCGCTCTCTCTGCACTGGATGGACCTTTCTGTTGCTGCGAGCCGCCCAACCGGAGAGATGAAACTCCCCAGCTGCCCTTCATCCCTCAGCTGCGAAATGTTTTGCAATTACTGATTTCCGTGGAAGGGTGTGCGTGTGGATGGATGGCTGGCTGGCTGGTGATGGACCAAAAAACTGAACGAAAATACGCATCACACAGCCAGACACACACACACACAGACACACACACACACACATGAATTCCAGGGCCATACATCACTCAGATCTACCTCGCTGACGCCTGCCTGACCCTCTCAGCGCGAAGGACAGAGAAACAGAGAGAGAAAGGGGGAGGCCGGGAGGATCGCGCGGGGCCACTGGCTGCTTGAGAGTGAAGCAAAATCACGCCCGAGGCAGCACAACGCCCCTGATCATCGTCGCTGGACCGACAGCAGCCATGGGAGAAGAGAGCGACCACGACCCGGCGCACAACTCGGCCCTGCAGCCAAGGAACCCTTCCCCCGCTCCCTCTGCCGATACCACAGCGTCCGATTCCCCCTCAGCGTCGGCCAACAGCGAGCCGCACTCGATGAGCGAACCAGACATCTCCACCCCACGCAAGAAGACCCCCCTATCCCCCTTCCGGCGGACCCTGCTCATCTCCTTCGTCGGCATCTTGCTCACGGGCGTGTTGCTGCGGGCCTTCTCGCCCGGCCTGTCTGCCAGCCACCCGCTGCTGCTGCTGCTGAGTAAGCTGTCGCTGCCCCACTGGATGTGGTGGATGGGAGGCGGCGACCCCCTCTCATATGAGATTCTCTACCCCGACGCACCGCCACTGGACCCACACGCCGCTCCGGCGGCCCTGCATGAGCACACCAAGGTGTTCCGCAAGGAGATCGTCCAGGTCACGCAGTCGGTGTTCGTGGCCATCGGGTACGGGCTCGCCAACTGCGTCCTCATCAGGGGCAAGAGCGGCGGGCTCATTGTGGTCGACACATTGGAGAGCACCGGCGCCATGGATGCGCTGCTCCGAGACCTCATGCAGCACCCATTTCTTGGGAACGGGGAGGAGGAGACCGAGAGCGGCGAGCTGGTGCTGCCGATGCCGCTCAAGGCCATCATCTACACACACGCCCATCAGGACCACATCTTCGGCGCGAGCTCTCTGGTGGCCGCGCACCAGCGGCATTTGGGGAACCACCCCACCAGCAGCAGCGGCGACAACAACCAGTCGTCGATAGAGGTGTGGAGCCACCCGTTGACGGTCAAGGAGATCGACAAGGCGCTCTCACTGACGGGCGCCGTGACATACCGCCGGGCGATGCGTCAGTTTGGCGTGTTTTTGACTGAGGAGGAGTTCATCAACGCGGGCATCGGGCCGCGGCTGCTGTACGACTGGCGGGCCACCATGGGAATCATACACCCCAACCGCACCATGGCCAGCAACAAACAGGTACCTGAGGCGGCCACAGCCAGCCTGTCACGCGCACATCGATGGGATGGATGCACTGCTCTCTTTCTTTCTCTTGTGGTTTCTTTCAGTCGATTGAGATCGACGGCGTGCGTCTGGACCTGCTGCACGCCCCCGGCGAGACCAAGGACCAGATCGTGATATGGCTGCCGGACCAGCGGCTGCTGGTGGGGGCCGACAACTTCTACTGCGCCTTCCCCAACCTGTATGCCATCCGCGGCACCGAGACCCGCGACAGCATGGTCTGGGTGCGGTCGCTGGACCTCATGCGCAGCCTGCCGGCACAGTACCTGGTTCCCACACACACACGGCCTCTCCGGGGGCAGCGAGTCATACACGGTGAGAGAAGAAAATATACAGCAACAGAGAGGGAGGCGGGATGTGTGGATGTGTGGGGCTCTGTGTGTGGGGCTCTGTCTGTTTGTTGGCAGAGACTTTGACCAACTACCGCGACGCCATTCAGTTCGTCCACGACCAGACGATCCGGCTGATGAACAAGGGCTACCTGCTGGACGACATCGTGCAGCGCATCCAGCTGCCCCCGCACCTCGCCCCCCTCCCCTACCTGCAGCCCTTCTACGGCATCGTCCCGTGGGCCGTTCGAGCGGTCTTCACACACTACATGGGATGGTTCTCAGGCGACCCTGCCGACCTCAACCCACTCGCACCGTTCGAGAGAGCCAAGGTGGGCGTGTGTGTGTATGACTTGTTCGTTCATCTCAATATGTCTCTCTGTGTGCCTGTGTGTGTGGGGGGCAGGGTCTGGCGGAGCTGGCGGGCGGTCGGGATAATGTCCTGGCAGCAGCAGAGAAGGCGCTGGAAGAGGGACGCGCACAGGTGCCCACCAACACACACCAACACACACAGACCAAGCCATCTCTCTCCATCCCTCTTTGTGTGTGGCCATCGTGTCATGCTTGATTTGATGCATCCATCAGTGGGCTTTGGAGCTGGCCACATCGGCCGTTCGTCTGGACGGCCAGTACGAGCCGGCCCAGAAGCTGCGTGTGCGGGCGTTGCGTGAGATGGCGGCGCGGCAGCCGGCGGCCACGGGGCGCAACTACTTCCTCACGGCAGCTTCAGAGGCAGAGGGCAAAGTCAGCCTCAAAATCAAAGATGAACAGAAAATACAGGTGGGTGGGAGGGACAGAGGGAGAGAGCATGTGTCTGTCTGTCTGTCCATCTGTGCACGTGAGTGTCGGTCGGTGTCTGTATGTGTGCATCAGGTTCTCGATCGCGTCAAGGACGTCAGACAGGCGCTGGACGTACTGCGAGTCAGGTACGCCGATTTCCACGCACACACGTGCGACACTCACCTCACATTCACCCCTTCTGGCGTGTACGTTTCTTTCAGGTTTGCGGCCGAGCGCGCGCTGAGCCTTGTTTCTTCGATAGAGTTCCGCTGGACGGACTACGCCCCCAGTGCGGGCGTGAGCTGCCTGCACATCCGCAGGGGCGTGGTCGAGCTCAACCACAACCACTGCGACCACCGCCCTAACATCAAGGTACACACACACACACAGAGAGAGAGAGAGAAAGAGAGAGATGGCGGGTGGATGGATGGATGGATGTGTGCAGGTGCGCATGCCGTCTGGCTTGATGCGAGATCTGATCAAGGGCACCCGGACGGCCGCTCTGGCGATCGCCACGGGGGAGATGAGTGTCGAGGGCGGCCTCATGCAGTTCGCGGCCGTCATGAGCCTGTTCGAGACCAGCGCTGACTAACTCACACACACACACACACACACATGGAGGGGAGGGAGGGAGCAGACCTCCTCTTTTTTGAACCAGCACACACGCATCCATCGATCTAGAGCACAGCGCATTATTGCTACTGCAATTGCCGCCCTGCCTGCGTTGACTGCATTGCATTGCATTGCGTGACGTCATGTGGTGTGTACGTGAGTACGGGCGTACAGGGAGAGAGAGGGAGAGAGAGAGGGATGGGAAGGGATGGGAATGCATTCATTCCATGCAGCCATGCAGGAGCTGAGCTGCCGTGTCTGTCTTGTTTTGCGGTGGGGACGGTGGGTGGAAGGCCATCGTGTACGCACGAACTGCGTGCCTTGATTGACTGACTGATTGACTGCTGATTGGGCGCGTGGATGGATGGATGGATGGATGGATGTGGGTGTGTGCGCTTGTGGGCGTAGGTATGGGTGGGTGTAGGTACGGATGCATCTAATGTAGTCTAGGCAGACAGACAGGCAGGCAGACACACCCCCGCACGCACTCGTCGGCAGATCTCGATCGCACTATTGCTCGTTGCGCCATCCATCGTATCTATCAGATACGTACCCTACACTTACCTGCGAAAGGGACGGAGGGAGAGAGGCAAAGACTGAGGACTGAATACTGCTGCAGTGCCTGCCTTAGCTTACCTTGCTGGCTTTTTCTCACTGCTGAGCGTTTTCTTTGGTGTGGTTTTTATGTTGCCTTCCTTTGTATGTGCCTATGTGCCTGTGAGTGTATGTAAAGGGGTTTAATGGTCGGGAAAGCCCTACCCCCTCGCCCCCAACACACACATATCGACCGACCGACCGAGCAACAGACCGGCTCAGACCAGGCAGATCAGATCTCCGTCGCTTAGCTTTTTCAGTGAGTGGATGCTCAAGTTCTTTTTCCGTCTGCTCGTTTCTCGCCTGCCAGCCAGCCACACAACGACACACACACACATAATGTGTTATTTTTTTGCCGCCAACCCACCCATCGGATGCACAGAGGTGACACGACATTCATTATCGTTGGCTGGATGCACTGCATGGATTGATTGCCACAATGAGCCGTCAGTGGCACATGAGGTGGGTGAGATGAGGGGTGGTGAGGAGGGAGGGGGCTATGATCCGGGTTATGTGGCTATGGGGAGGGGAGGGGAGGAGGGAGCGATTGATTGCATGTGTGGCCGTCCGTATGTCACTTTGCCTGAACATGCCTCTGTTGTCTGTCTGTTTGTCTGTTTGTCTGTCTTTGTGGTGATGAGTGGAATGGGTGGAATGGGTGTTGAGAGTGGGTGTAAATACAAACGTTTGTTCGGTTGCCGTGAAGGTGGTGTGTATCTATCAGCACCCACCAGAGCAATATATGCGACACGACACACATACAGCATATACAGCATATACAGGAGTGTAGGACGCACCTCTCTGACCTGCTGGTTTCCCCTTGTCGTCTGTCCGTCCGTCCGTCTGCCTGCCTGCCTGCCTGCCTGCTGTGTACAGCGCCTATCTGTCTATGAGTAATTCGGCGGCCGATGGTCGTGTCTATCATTCATGATAATCATCAGCGAGGATAAATATTGCCGACCGACCGACCGCACAAATGTACGAATGAATGCACGAGTGCATCCATAGGCATGCTCTACCTCTCTGTGGTGTCTGTCTTCCTTGGTGGTGTGATGGGTGTGAGTAGAGTGTCCGTACGCGCGTAGGTCGTCCCCTAGAGCATCTCTGCTCTCATCTTTCCTCTTCTTGACTGCACGACTGACCGACCGACCGACCGACTGCGATTTTGGCAAACAACACCATTGTACTGGCTGCTTGAGTGGCTATCACTAGAGACTTGAGGACGATACGCGAGACCTGTGTGTCAGTCTGGCTGCCCATCCCATGCGGCCGGGCCAACAACTCGTTTTTCGCACTCTGCGAGCGAATTCCCCCATGTCAGACCTGCATGGATGGCTGCATCCCGGACGCTTCACATGTTCTACACGTATGGCGGCATGCTTACGGCCGGAAGGGATGTGTGACACATAAGACACACTGAGAACGATCATATCTTAGCCACCCACCCACCCACGCGTCGGACTCACACTCACCAGAAGACAATTCTAACACAGGCAGCTCTTCGCACAATTGAGACACACGCATACGCACGCACGCACACGGAGACATGATTATCTAACTGACCTGCAATATCTGCGTCAGTCCCGAATCCCGCCGTGTCTGTCCCGAATCCCGCCGTGTCTGTCCCGCTGTGTCTTGTCCCGAATCCCGACGTGTCTGTCCCGAATCCCGCCGTGTCTGTCCCGAATCCCGAACAACAACGGCGACGGCCGACGCATGCAGGCAGCGGGGTGAGTGGGCATCAGCTCCTCCGTTAACTTCGTTCCATCAGCTACAATTGAGACACACCCACTGACGGAGACATAATTGTGGTCCAGCTTTACATTTTGTATGTCAGAGTGAGTTGAGGCTGAGGAAAGCGGATGTGTGGTGATGGTCACACGGACTCACACTCACCAGAAGGCAGTTCTAACACAGGCAGCAGCGAGTGGGCATCAGCTCTTCGCACAATTGAGACACACGCATACGCACGCACACACACGGAGACAGAAAGAGAGATAGAGACATGATTGTCTGACCAACTATATCATGATGCGACCGTTGACGTCGGTGAATGGATGCGGCATGGTCCAATGAGTTGAGGCTGAGGAAAGTTGATGACAATGAATACAGCGGATGTGTGACAAACAGACGCAGAAACTCATAGCATCACACACCATCGAATACGCATTCGTCTTCTGTCCACTGGCTGGTCACTCATTGGGTGTCAATCATCTGTCTGTCGTGTTCTGTCTCTTGCTCAAGACTTCATTTCTTGTTGAACACTTGGATTACTGACGTCAGCATCGACAGCTTCAGCCCAGCCTGAATGACTCACACACACATGCGCACATGCCCATACACACTCATCCGTGTGTGCCTTTGTGTGCGTGTCACTCACCTGCGAGCCCTGAAAGAAGTCTGCACAAGTGACACACGCAGACATGCAGACGCGCAGTGAGTGCGTTCCTCTTCCTTCCAGCGGCAGCTTGAGTCGGTAGTTCATGTACTCGATGATGAACCTTATCTCGGCCGGCGTGGGGGGGCGACCCAAGTTGTTCTGGAACCACTGCTGTGCCACCTGGATGACTGCCCGGAGCCATAGGGACCGCTGGAATGCCTTGGACACTTCCTTATCTCCTCCAAACGATTCCGCAAGCTGAGCAGAAGACACAGTCGACAGGAGTGCTCCATGTTTCACTCCGGCACTTACCGGGGTCGCCCCTTGGCCGATGGCGTCATCAGCATGAGTGAATGCATCTGCAAGCACGGACACGGACACAAGATGGCAACCAGACATGCATGTATGTAACACAAACACACGCACTCGCCTCTCTTGTGCTTTTGCTAACCAATAGTGAATGGATGGTTTGGGGTGTCGGCCTGTTCCGTTACGCAAAGGGCGATTGTGTTGTTGCCATTGTTGTTTTGGGGCGGGTCGATGGCTGCTGTTGCACCGATGCAATCAGCCACATCAGCACCTGTGCAGCCTATCAAAGACACACAAAGCAAGACAAAGTGTCTGCTTCAGGAAGAGACATGTGTTCGTGTGTCTGTCATTGCTTGTTGCTTACATTCCTTTTTGTCTGTGTGTCCCCGCGGCCCCAGTCAAGTCAAACGCCGCAAGCAGCAATAGGGCAAAAGTCAAAAAACCCATCATCGGCGGCCGACCAGACATTCAGATTGATTGATTGATTGGTTCGACAGGTATGTACACATAGCTCGGTCACTCAGTGATTCACTCGATCGAGTTGTAATACATTGCTATGCAGTCACTGACTGAGTCAGAGACGCAAGCCTCACTAACTACCATCTCCTCACTAACTACCATGAGAGATGATAGGACCTGTCGAGGACCTGCTGACAGACACCAGTCACGGAAAAGGTCGCTTTGACTCGCTCTTTTTTTGCTACCTTCGGCCACCTACATGACGTCAGATGAGTGAGTGAATGAATGACGAGGTCAGCTTCCCTTACAGGCACAACTACACACCTGCTTAATGCAAATACAATGCTGTTTTTCGTGAGACAACTCGTAGTTGATGTGTTTGTAATGGTTTGAGTGCTGCCGTTCGTCCGTTCAGACGGACACACGCATGAGACTCACCGTACACACCCACACGTTCGACCACACATGGCCACCCAACGCCCACTCGCACATCCACCACACCACACGAACCACCGATGCCAACATAGCACCCGACGATGCCTCTCCACCCGCCCGCTCACACACCCATCCACCAGCCACTCGCCGCACATTTCACATTCACGCAGCCCCCGAGCAATGGCTGTCAGTGCGTCTCAACTGGCTGGCTGGCACATCCCACGTTCACGCGGCGACCACAGCTTAAAGGCTGTCTGTTGGCCACACACGCGCCCGTGAGAGGCCAGTTCATCAGCCAGCCGCACGGCCCATCCCCCATCAGAGTTCACGCCTGCACCAAAAGATGGTGCGATGCGCGCCCCCTGATGGCGGACTCCTGCACAGACAACACCGCAGCAAACCCTTACCCCAGAACATTCTCCATCCATCCATCCATCCATCCATCACAAGTCTGCTGCCCATAGACAGACATTGCCCATAGACAGACAGACAAATTATACACCAATGAGGTCAGCCTCCGATGTCCACTTCTCTTTCTTTGCTTTCACGCCCCCACACCCCACCGTGCCCTGAATTCCTTTTCTGCCTGATCCCTCAGCCGCCGTTTAAGCCGCACCGTTGCGAACTCACCACACTAGGGCAATCCTCACCTTGTCAAAAGAGCGGCGCCATCAGCCGCACCCCAATGCACTCGAGCACCGTCCACGGCGGCACACACGGCGCAGCAGGCGGCACTTTCACCACGTCGAAGTACACCACCGGCACCGTCTCCGTCTCACTGTGCTGCTGTGGTGGCGTCTTGGGGTGTGCGGCGAACATCTGGTTGACGCGTGACTCGAGCAGGGTCTGACTGATGGTGGTGCTGCTGGTGGCAGAGTGGCGGCAGGTGGCGAAGAGGGCTGTGGCGAAGGCGGACATCTCAGAGGCAGCACCAAACAGCAAGTGCTGATGAATGGATCAATCAACGGATGACAGCACAGAAAGTGATGTGTGCCTGTGTGTGTGTGTGTGCTGACCACATGCACTGACTGTACTTACCTGTTGGATATGTTCGAGGTATCTCCCCAGCTGCCATCTGTCAACCAGGGTCTGCACGGCTGCAGCGTCAGCAAGAGCGGCTTGGGCATATATCGGCTCCAGCAGGTCCCTCTCCACAATCGCACCCAACTCAAACACCGGCACCCTCCCCCATCAGCAGACACCCCCCGCCAGCAGAGCGCCTTGGTCGCGTCATGCTGGTGGTCCGGCTGTGTCACTGTTGGTGTTGGGCGGTGGGTCTTCTTGATGTCCGTGTGTTGGTGTGTGTGCTGCTGCGCCACTGCCGGTGCGGGTGGGCATGGTGCGATCGGCTCTTGTGGTACGCCAGGGGATGTCTGGACGGCTCGTGGGCATGTCGGCTGCTGCTGGGCAGCACCAGGGGGAGGGACGTGGGCCTTGGAGGGAGAGGGAGATTCAACACCAGCAATGTCACCCTGACTGTCGTCACCATGAACGGGCTGGTGGTCCTCCACGGCCACATCGTCAGCTTGCTCTCCGCCACATTGCTGCTGCTGCTGTTGCTGCTGGTTGCTCTCTGCCGGTTCGTCTGAATGGCTCGTGGGGATGTCGGCCGCTGCTGGGCAGCACCAGGAATAGGGGCGTGGGCGGGGGACGGCAAGGGAGAGCCAGCAATGTCACCACGAGCAAGCTGGTGGTCCTCCACGGCCACGTCGTCGGCCTTCTCTCCGCCACATTGCTGCTGCTGCTGCTGCTGGTTGGTCTCTGCCGGTTCGTCAGACTCCTCCTCCCACACACGAAAGACAGACACCCCATCCACACGCCCACTCTCCGCAGCACCATGTATGCCGATGCTCATGTTCCTTGTCGCTTCGATGCAGGCCGACACGCCGTCAGATCGATGCACACCACGCGACATCACACCAGTGGGCTCGCCAGCCACAGCTGGCGCCGGTTCCTCTTGTGTGGTTTGCGCTTGCTGCGTGGTGGATGGATGGGCGAGGGCCGGGAGCGATGCGGAGTGTTTGACGAGGCCCTGTGAGCGTAGGTATTGGTGCCTGCAGAGACACCACAGAGGGGAGGGAGACAGTTGGGATCCGATCCATGTGTGTGTGCGCATCTTGGTGCCATGCCATGTGTGTACCGTTTGTTCGCGAGTCGAAGTCTCTTAAGTCGCCACTCGAGCAGACGATTGGCCGCGTCCAGGCGACCCATCTCACACTGACACACTCACATAAAGAAAGAGGCAACATGACGATTGATTCCCTCTCCCGCACCCCTGTCTGTCTGTCTGTCTATCTGTCCATTCTCCTTGCCCACTCACTGACCGCCTGTTGGTCCAGCAGGTGACGCCTCGCGTCCTCCACATCGCTCTCACTCACGCCGAACAGACCGCCACCACCTTCAGCACCACCACCACCGGCACCCTCCTCCCGGGCCCTATTGTGTTCTCCCAGCTGCCTATCGAGCAGCTGACGCTGCACACGCTGCTTGGCCGCCACCTCCACGCCATCAAATGGGTTGCTGCTGTCGAAGACACCCTCCTGCAGCCCGCTCAGGAGGGCTGTCTCAGCTTGGTCATTGACGCCGTCGTTGTGTGGAGGTGGTGGCTGGGCCTGGTCGATGTGTCGGAGGAAGGCATCTTGGATGGCGGCTTCCTCGTCGCTCTCAATCCCTCCCTCGCTCTCAGCATCCTCCTCCAGCTGCCTTGTGAGCATGGGCTGCAGGTCTTCCAGATGCACCGCCGCTGCTGAGCCGTGCTGCTGCTGCTGGTGGTGGTCGGCATGGTCTCCTAAGGCGGCTGCGTGTGTGAAGAACTGCCGGGCTGCCTGGCAGTTCATCAGCTGCAGGGGGCCGGCCGCCCACGTACTGGTTCTGTGGGGGTGGGGAGAGGGAGATGGGGAGTGGGAGGGTGCCAACGCAGGCAGCGGCAGATGATCCGGGTGGCGGATGGTTGATGTGAGTGGGTCGACACGTGGCACCACCCGCGGCACCAGGTCATAGGTCACCTCATACACCGCTGCTGATGCTTACAGGACCGCGGCTGTCGGTTCTATCGCCAAAGTCTCCTCTCTCCCGACCTCTCTGTCGCCCACGTTCCCCCTCGCCCCTCCCTCGGCTCTTATCTTCTTGTTGTTTCTCGGTGGAGTCGGTGCCGCCTCTGCGGGATGCGGGTATGATCTCCTCAGCCTTAACAACTTGATATGTCGATCCAGCACTGGTAGGTGAGCGGTCCTCGTTGGGCCTTCCCTCATCATCACGCCATCGCTCCTTCCCTCCCCTATGCATCCGTATCGGTCCGTCGTGGCGCTCCCGAGGGATGCGACATGACGGACCGAACGGACGCAGAGGAGTTCATCGTGCGAGGATGGGCGGCGGCAGAACGTGGAGAGGCATGCCAGGCGGGGGCGGCATATAGGGGAAGGCCATTGGCAGCATGGGCATAGGAGGCGGTGGGTGGTGGATGGGCATAGGAGGCGGTGGGGGGTGGTGGGGCGGCATGCGCAGACTCTGAGGTGGTGGGATGGGCTGGCGGGGCAGGGGCAGCAGCGACATGTACATGGGCGGTGGAGGGGCGGGCATGGCAGCTATAGAGACACAACACAACGACACAAGGAGACACAATGAGAAGATACTCTGCCTGTGGTCCCGTGGTCCCTCGTTATTGTGTTCCATTCATCACTCACTCTGAGACTGCGGCCGCAAGTACGCATAGGTGGGCGGGGCCGTTTCTTTGGGGGGCGGGGGCGGCTGCGATATGTTGCCGGGAGCGGGGGGTGCTGAAATCAGCCACGGAAGGCCGAGGAGCTACATCATATACACACATAGGTGCAGCATTCGGTGTGTGTTGGCAAACATTTATGTGTGTAGTCCCAATGCTCACCTCTTGCGCTGTGCTGTCCCCGTGGAAAAGCTCGAGAATGAAGTGGATGAGCTCCCCGGACGGCTGGTACGGCATGAAGGACGCCAGGGTGGCCGCCACAGACTGTGGTGTCTGCAAAGCGGCACAAGAGACAGAGACAAGTGTGTAATGCGTGTGTCTTCATCTATCTATCTGTGTGCGTACCGTGAGTGTGGCGATGCGCTCGATGGTCTGTGGGTCGGCCCCCAGCGCCTTCAACAGCACCTCCCCTGGTCGATACACACGCACAGAAGGCAAAGCAAAAGGCATACATCCTGCCTGCAGGTGTCCTCGTGTGTCTCATGTGTGGTGCAGCCCAGCCCACCTGTCTTGCGGAGATCATCCGCTGCCCCCGAGCCCTGCAGACAGACCATTGAAACACACACAAGAACGGCACATGTCCCTCCACCCCTCTTTCCCTCATTGTAACCTTACCGAGCAATAGTCATGGCGCAGGTGGTCCAGGTCGATCAAGACCGCCCTGTCTTTCAGCACCATGACGTTGTCAGGCTTCATGTCGCCGTGTGAGAGCCCGCGGTGGTGGAGGAAACCGAGCGCCTTCACTTCGCGCAAAGACCGACCACACAGCCAACACAGCCAACACAGCCAACACAGACAATGTCATGCGAATGACGGACTCCATCCATCCACTCATACGTACGTGTATCACGGATGATACACTTGGCGTCGGCCTCCGTCTGGCGAGCGAGCTCCCACACGGTTGTCCCTGTAGACACACAGGTGCAGGAGAGATACGGATGGATGAGATGAGTGCTGTGTATGCGTGTCTCATGAAGTCGTTCGTCTAAGTCCGTACCCCTCAGGAACTCCATGACGTACACTGTCCGTCCGCCAGCGCTGAAGGAGAAGTAGTAGCGCGGCAGGTACGGACAGTGTCGGAGTCCTTGCTCGCAATATATGCGATAGGTGTGGCGGGCATACTCCTGACATACATGCCCCATAGACACAGAGAGAGAGAGGCTTAAAGCCTGCATCCTTTCTCTTTGTATGTCGCCCGTTTGCGTACCCCTCCCGTGGAGAAGTCCGGTGCGAGGACTTTGATGGCGTAGTCTCCCGCCCGCCACACCTTCCCCTGGCCCCCAAAGCCCGTCTTGGCCTCCAGCGTCAGCCCCATGCGATAGTAGAGGTACTCCTGTACACGTGTCACGCCATGCAAAACAGCAATGGAAACAGATGATGGGAGGCGGTTCGTTGGCGAATTTTGCTTGTCTCACCTCCACGGCCCGCTCCGCCGTCAGCCTCTCCCACTTCTGCAACATATAAACCAGCACAACGAGGACAATGAATCGCAGACCCACACCGAGTCAGACTCTCAGACTTCACTCGTTGTGACCTTCTCGGCCTCCTTCTTCTCCTTGCGGAGGGCGACGACCCTCTCGGCCTTATCGCTGGGGTACAGCTGCTGGGCAAGTTGCCGGTAGGAGGCCTCGTCCTCCTCGAGGAACTGCTGCAGCGCCGGCAGCGGCGGGAAGCGGCCCGCATCCTTCGTCACTGGTGCATATACAAGCACCTTCTCCATCCTCGCTCTCTCTGTCTCCAAGCGGCCCCCAATTGGCGGCCCCCAGCGTCGATCGGGTCGAATCGGTTGAGAACGATGGCAGAAGAAGACGTGTTGAAACGACACCGACATTCAGTGCCGGTGTTGAAATGAAATTGACCGATGCAACCGAACACCGACAGACATCTGTGCTATGGGTCAGCTCTTTGCAATGAATCAGCTCTGTCAGCCTACGACCATGGCACTGCCAGCCAGCCTATGAACAAGTCAGCCGATGAGCAACGAGAGGACAGCCAAAATCCCACAGCCAACCAACCGACCATTCAGACACTAGTGCGAGCATCGATACGCAGGGAGAAGAGCACGGCATCAGTCAGGCAGCCAAAGCAACGTCGGCTTTAGACACCCAGACACGACCAGTCACCCAGGAAAGCTATGCACAAACCAAGCCAGCCGGTTCATTCGTACACCACCCAAACATCCATCGATCCATTCACCCATCCATCCATCCATCCACACACTGCACACATCGATATCTGCACAACCCCCGCACAAAAGACCCAGATGCTTGTCATCTGTGGGGTGGGTATGACTGCCCATGCGACGAGGAAAGGAGAGGAGACGAGACGAGACGAGGATGCCCTCATTCCTGTCTGTGTGAAGGCCTGCCTGCCCGTCCCCTGTCTGTGCCGGGCAACAGGCAGGTCTGGCAACACACGCCGTCGGAAGAGGCCACAAAAGGCTTGCACATCCCATCAAATCGTCTAAGCCACTTGCTTCTTTCAACCCATGTGCAGTGGTGTGGTGCCCACCACTGCACAGCTCGAATGCTATCACACAGGTAGCCCACCCACCCCCTCTCTCTCCCTCTCTCATATCTATACTACAGGCGCCCCGTTGGTGTCCATCCTGTGTGCGCATGGTCAGCCCTGCATGGCACCCACGACACACACAGACCGAGAGGCAACCATCAATCCAAATGAGGCAGGCTGCGGACATTACTGTGCTCTTGTGGGTTGGTGTACCTGGTGTCTGGGCTGGTGGTTGATGTTGAGGTACAGCCACTCACTGGCGGCGCTGCCTTGAACGGTGTACTGGGTGTGGCTCACATGGCTTGCCATCGACAACTGCACACACCAAGGACGCACAAACACACAGAGAGGCAACCATCAACAACAAACGACGCTGGCGGTCGGTCGATATGCGTATGTGTGTGTGGTAGTCTACCTGGGGGGCCACTGGTGGGTTCGTCGGGTTGCCATGTACCGGAGGGTTGACGTAGGTGATGCCGCCGCCCGGTAGCTGCATCGGGGGGCCCCTCGGCATTCCCATGGGCACCGACAAAGGGGCCACGGCCGTCAGCGGGAGCGCCGGCGGCATGCGGGCCACCTGACCAACGTCTACACACAACACACAGCACATGTTCAAACACACACCCACTCACATAGAGGGGCTGCATGTGTGTCCACTCACAACACGGGGCATTGTTGATGTTCTGAGGACTGTAGAGCGGCAGGGGCCGCGGGGCGACGGGAAGGCCACCACCACCCACCGCACCAGTCGCAGACGGGGGCGCGTGGATGGCCTGAGTGGCCGGTGAGGTCTCGGGCAGCCTCTGCCGGGCGGGGGCCTGACAGAGAGGGCATGTGCCTGGAGTTGTGGTGTGTGTGGAGGGGTACATACCCGTGATCCTCGACGATTCGCCCACGTGCACCGGTTGTCGCGTATCGAGTTGTACTGAACCGCAGCTGACACACACAAAAGGCCATCCATGGACGGATAGGGTCATGCATCGATTGTGTGTTGTGTTGTGTGATAGTGATTATGTGCCAATACCACTGTAGCCCGGCGCCGACAGGGGCGTGGGAAACACAGGGCCAGCCTGAGAGAGCAGTGGGAGGGAGGCAACACATCATGCAGCTACGAAATGAGAAAAGAAACTTTGTCTTCGCGTTGCTCACGGCCGGGCGGGGGTTGAAATGAAACGTAGGATGGTAGTTGCTCGGCAACGGCAACAACGGATGCTGCACAGAGACAGAAACAGAGACCACACAATACAAATGCACGATCCCATCTGCGTGAGAGATGAGTGTACGTGCACCTACCTGTATGGTGTTGGTGGTGGTGGTGGTGGTGTCGGTGGTCTGGAAGTTGCCCGAGGCCAGCAGTGGACGAGCAGCCGAAGTACCTACCGGCCCATGGTGCGCAGCGGAGGGCACCCATAGTTGGTTTCTGCTGCTGCTGCTGGAAGCTACAGGCGCATGCGACATGGCAGGAAGATGCGCCGATTGTCCGCCCGTTGAAGTGGGCATAGCGCCGGCACGCCGCTGGTCACGTGTGCACCAATAAACACACACACACACACACACACAGAGAGAGGAAACTCGGGAGGAGCAGTGCAGCCCTTTCTTCCCGAGTTGTGCGTACGACATAAGACACTGCGATGTCCTCATCGCTGGCGCCGCTGCAGAGGCGGGCCAGCTCCGGCGCCACCACGCCCCCTTCAATGGCGTCCTTCTCGATGAATGCCGGCAGCAGCACACGGTATGGTTTGGCGGGATCCACCGTCACGGTATCCCGGCCCGCCAGGCGAAACAACTTAAGTGACCACTCCTGAAACACCAAAGAGATGGATAGATGCGCAAATGAATGAGGGCAGGATGGTCGCATGGCTGACTTTCTGCTTACTGGTTTGTCCTCTAGGGCTTCTGCGTACCGGTACGCCTCGTTCTCCTTCTCGGTGTGAGTGAGGCGCGACTTTTTCTTGCCCACAAACGACACAACAAGATAGATTGCTACCAACGATGGGGTGAACATGACGCTCGCTGCACACGCGACAGGGAAGCGCCACTTCCCTCCGGTCGGCGATCTACTGGTCGCGACGATCGGCCACCTGAAAGTGTACACACGAAGAGTACCGGAGGGAGTCATAAATGATGTATGACGAAGGCTAGAAGCGAATGAGAGCCGTCGAACAACGCTCCAAGTGAGAGGGAGACGCCCCCACGACTCGTCGACGCCGTGAGGCCTGACAGCCACCACATCGGATCCGGCTGTGGGGGTCCACTGGAGGACGCCCACATGACACCTGAAGGAAAAGGGAGGCATACTTGACCGTCAGAAACCACACATGAGTGATATGGGGGCGTGAGGGCCTCTGCGTGCTTTTCGGCGCCTTGATGCATGCGTTCTGCCTTCCTGTGCCACCTGTGATACCCTCAGGTGGAGGGTGGACCGCATCATCGCCCGATGAGCGCTTGTGGCCGTTTGTGCGGCAGAAGTCGGCTGAAAAGATGAGTTGGCCGCAACGGCGCCGCAGAGAGGGCGAGGGAGGGCACACAAGGCAGCTGGCGTCGAAAGGGGGGGG